ATATATATATATATATATATATATATATATATATGTGGGCTGGTTCAAATAAAAACTAGTGCTGGTGTGAGAACCGTGAGAACCATATTTCAAGCTATTTATAATTGTGTATGATGCTATTTTTAACACACATGGTGCTATCATTTTCACAAATGTTAATATAAATTGTGTTGTTATTTTTAATAAAATAAATCTATGTTAAAAATAGCACTAAAACACAATTAATCATAGCACTAGGTACAATTAAAAATAGCAGTTTTCACAATTTTCACGCTAGGACTTGGTTGCAACCATTTTCAGCATATGTATATGACTATATGTATTGTTGGATATTTGATTTATTTTTAGAGTTTAGTTGATGTTTATTAATAGTTTATGCTTGAATATTTAGGGAGTGATTGTTTATGGATTGAACTAGTTATTATTTGATTATTTTTTAATTATAGCTAACTAGTACAACACTCGTGTATTACACGAGTGCTTGTTAAAAAATTGATTATTTTTTAATTATAGCTAACTAGTACAACACTCGTGTATTACACGAGTGCTTGTTAAAAATTTATTCATAAATTAAAATTAATGAGAAAACTAAATTAAATTTAGTTTACTTTTTTACAAAAAAAAATATATTACTATATATTTTAGAATGATATGTGTTACTTATGACTTACATGTGTTATATTATATTAGTTGTTATAACTTATATCAACTTATATCGTATAACTACTTGAAATATAAATATATTGGTTGATAAATAATTTTATTTTTTAATTAATATTAAAAATAATTTTATTATTGTTATAAAGATAAATATAAATTATTTTCTTTATACATACAATATGAATCTTAAATCGAAGTTCATCAAAAGAAGATTAATTTGATATATTACATATGTAAAACTGATAAAAAATACAAAAGTTATTAACTTTTAAAATATATATACAATTCAATAGTTATAATAAGGAATGATATTAAAATACAATTAATACATGTAACATGACCATAAATAATCAACATAATTATGGTAATCCGAACATAATTATTTTTTGTTTGGAATTAAATTAAAATTTACCCAAGCCTAATAACGAAGCATGTAATTTTGCCACATAGGATTCTGAAGCACCATAAGCAGCCACGTAGGCTCAGCGCGTTCTGTATTAATATATAGGGGGAGGGGATTTTGAAAGAATGTAGTATGGTTAGTGGTTAATGGATCTATTAAAATAATACTTAAATAAAATAATTAAAATTGATTTGATGTAAAGTATGAGAAAAGTGATTGAAGGTGATGGATAGTTAAAATTATGTGAGTGGATAAATAATAAATTAAAGTTGATGTGATGTGTAAGAATGATTGGTTGATATTATTTAATTATATTGATAATTATGAAGATAGTGAGTTAGTTAAAGTTGAGTTAAATTTAAATTTAATTGAATTTTTTAGTTGGACTAGTAAACAATCACCCCCAAATTTATTTTATTTTATTTTATTTTTTGCAACGTCACATGATCTGATTTTCCTATTTTTAGTGGGCCATATGAAGAAAGAGGACCAGTCAACCTTCTTTCTCCTGCAGGCCATCATCCGCATTTTGAGTTCTCTAGTGGAGGCGAGCTAGTGACAGTGCCGGGGAATAGAAAGATGGGAGCGAAAGCACTTTTTAAAGAAGTTATTCAAAAACAAATGAACCAGTTTCTACTTCAGAAAATAATACACCTATAATAAATTATAAACAAACAAAATATTATTTCAAATAAGAAAAATTTCTTAAATTTACAATAAAATTCTACTTTAATGTATTTTTTTTTTAAAAAAAAACATGGTCAATCTTATGAAAAATATTTCAAAATAGATGATAATATGTAAATTGGCCTAAAATTTTGGATCTCTTCGTTAACGCGTTGGAAGGCCTAAAATGCAAGAGCTGAAATGATTAATCAAGTGCTTCCATTGGGCCCATTGAATTGTATCTTCTAATAGCTAGTATTGGTTGGTGCTTGAGAATTACATGAGTATGGGCTTGGGAAGTAGTTGATAACTTGATATTGGCAGGCTTAGTATATGGAGTTACATGTGCAGAACATAGTTCATATGGGCTTTAGTATGGGACAAGAATTAAGCCCATATAACTCGGTCCGAGTTCTTATAAATAGAGAAAGCATAAAATATAAATGTCAATTTTGAGTTGTGAGAAATGAAAATTTTCTATTGTGTTTTGTCTGAGGAAAAAAAAAAAAGGGAAATGTATAGATAAATCCCCAATCCTAAATTCATCTTCTCATTCAGTCCCTAATGAAAATTTTTTCCATTCAACTCCCTAGTCAACAACTTTATGGTCCCCTCTAAGGTTTAAATTACATTTCTGCCCCGATACCTGTTTTTAAAAGAAAAGTACCAGTTTTCATTCAGTATAGTACCAGGGGCTTTCAAAATAGTACCTTGTGTTATAAATTTACATGGAGTACCAAATGTCTTTCTATATTGTACCTGACTTTATTCCCGGAGTACCACCACATATAAAATGGTATCAGAGCCTAGGTTTTATTAAGAACTCTTAGAAGAATTTATTACATGGTAATTGAATTTTGGTAAGGAGAATTAAAAAAGAATGGATATAGAAAATTGTCCAGAATGTATACATTATCTA